GCAGACTTTTCAGGCCTTCTTCAGCATGATTTTAGTAATCATGATGTTAAATTATTGGTGACCAGGCACTTTATTAGTCATAACCACAGCATGAGTGAACTACATTACATGGACAATGAGGCAGAGAAGCTGCCACAGAGAGGAGTAGGGACCGAATCCTTCTCCAAAGGCAGTAATATTGGATACCCTTCCTTGACACCGTCATTCCCAATAGAATGAATAAGGAGATTTCATATGAATTGTATATAATTTGTTGTGTGTTTTGGGGTTTTTTCATGTACTTTGTATTTTATATCATGTGACTTTATACCTGGAAAGGTTATAGTTCCCCTTGTTGGGATGTACTTGGGGTGCTGGTTGTGCTAACTGATCATTAATCCTACCTGTGTATTTATTGTTAAATTGCCAGAATGAATACTGAAGACAGACGTCTTGCCTGAAACGGTAAGGCAATATTAAAAAGTTAATTGCAATGCTGTCCTTGTCTTTCACTTTATGATTTAACACATTTAGGCTCCAGATCCCAGTCTTTATAGTCATAATGGGAGTAACTTCCTGCTAAGATGTTAACCATAACAACTATATAAAATCATAATGTTTCAGATGTTGTGTTTTCAAAATTTTAATGAATGTAGCTGTAAACAGTAGAAGAGTCAAATTTATTGCATGCACAGTGGTGGTGGTCATTGGAAACCGTTTGAAAAAGGACAGGCACTTTCAAAAAAATACGTAGCAGGTGATTGGATGAACCATCTGTCCATCACCATCAATCACGTGTGAACTTCAGCCAATCAAATCAGTGAACCATATAATTAGTCAAACTACTACTACTACAACTCTTACCTTAAGAGAGAAAACATGTTTTCAATCGAGAAAAGTCTTCAGTGCTGTTCTTTGCTCTTCTCTCCAGTTCTGATATAACTGATGCTAACCTGTTTAGCAGCAGCCATTGTTGCTCAACGAACAGTATCTTCTTGCTGTGTTACCCCTAGTGCCCAACCCTTTAGCTGCAGGTACTTTAAAAGGACACTAATTGGTCTGGTATCAGTTTGGCCACAAATGCATATATTAAAGCCTGGCAAGATAGATTTTACGTGATTTTGTCATCTTGCACATCCAGCTGCATATATAGTTTTGAGTGAAATATCTATACTGTTCTGAAATTGAAATGTGACACAAACATTCATTGTCCCCAGGGGGAGACTTTTCTTCGCCACCAGCAGTTTCATTTTTAAATACCTTGGTTTATGTACAAAGAGCTGCAAAACTGACATTACCATCAGCGTCATCTGTACTTAGTGCTAATTAGCAAATGCTTGCTAACATGATTAACTAATTTGTGTTATCATTTACTTGGAAGCACTGCTGTGCCTAAGTTCAGCCTCACAGAGCCCTTTCCATCAGCTTCTGAATTGACATTCTATAGAGGGTTTAGGATATAATGGCACCACATCCTGTATCTTCCTAGCAAACCACAGAGAAAGCATTCGGGAATGTTGCCTCTTTGTGCAGAGAACAGTCATTTGTTGACTGACTGCTTTCACTCTGTATGTAAAGCTAATAGGACTCCCACTGTATTCGGCCTCACTACCAGCATCTGTGGCAGAGGAAGGTGGGTGTTGATTCTGTGCATTGGGAGAGGAGTGCAGTAATTAGAGGCCTCTGTTTCATAAGCCATTTGAATGGAGCTCTCAGCAGCTCCAGTGCCCCCACCATACTGCTTTTTACATCTACCATTTGTGACGACAGTTAAAAGCACCTGACATTTCCCTTCCCGGCAATTAATGCCCAAGCCAGTGAACTTCCCACAGTTCTGAGGGAGTCAAGGTCTCCTGTCCAACTATGCTTAATATACAGAGGCTTGACTGCTATCTTTAGTCTCCCACCCAGACACACAGTAGAAAAATGTGAAAGGTGGATGAATGCATGCTGTATTGGCAAGGTATAACACTCAGTATACCTTAGTCTAAGGCAGTGCCAAATTGATATTGTAGTTGTTATTATAAAAGTGATTAGATCGCCAGATGTCAATATGAATATGAATATGAATAATATGAAAATTAACTGTTTACATTGTTTAATGTGGAAGCAAAGACTGTAGTCCCTTTAGAGACTCTCTTTGTCCAAGACTGAATAAATTAAGTTGTCAGTTATTGGTCCACTTTGTCTTCAGAAGCTAAATTAAGTTTGCAGGTTTTAATGATATTTGACGCTTGTATTTTCCCATAACTGTGGCTTTAATGAATTGACACTGCCCGTCTGAAAATTATTTGTTTTGGGGGTTTATTTTTATATTAGACACAGAGCCATTATTACTGCATATGTTTTCAATACAGCTACTTGATCCAACTTTATTAATGTCTCATGCACTACAGTATGGAGAAACAGAGCAAGTTGTATCTCCTGGATTTTCCTGAGCTTTACTTCATTCACTTTGCACTTGATCTTCAGAAGGCTTCCAGGCCCTGCAACTTCCACAAATATGCTTCCTCATAGTGAAGCTGTGTTCAAGCTGTGTGCTGAAAAAAGACTAAAAATTTGAAAAAACATGTGCTGTATTTGGAACCATCTACTACATATACAGACAAACGCAGTATATGTGATGTAGTATATACTGCATTTTGCACTTAATTGAAGTATGCAATATGAAACTGTCAAATTGATTAGCTTAGCCAGTTATTGGTTTTAGTTTCTTTCATGCTCATCACTTCCTCACTCCACACTCTAATTTCCAAACACACACCCATATTACCCACACCTACCCTTTTAATTTCTGCCTCCGGACTTTTGCCATATCATTACATAATTGCAACTGTTTTTTATGTCTCTGTCTATCCATCATATCTATCTTGTATATCGTCAATGTCACCATGATGTCACGTGTCAAAAAAAAAAAGGAAAAAGAATACAGCCATGGACCTAACACCAGTGGTCAACCACAGGATTCTGAAGACACATTTTGAAGCTTGGGATGCTGGTTTCACAAAATATGTTGTTTCTAGATTATCTTCCTCAATGAAAAATGGCTGCCAGACCAAATTCTGTTCCGGTTTATATGAATCAACAGCAAGAGTATATCCCTACCTAATTTTTCCTCCTCCCCGGTAATAGTATTAAATGCTTTCAGTATACATGTTGTAATACAATGTATACAATTACAATAACAAAGCAGTTCCTAAGAGAGCATATAGAAATGTATAGAACATCTTCACCTGCACCAGTCTACCAGTCAGACCTTTAGTGGACACAGTCCCCCCAAAAAGCTCCAAAAAGATGTGGTCTCATGAGAGCACAAGGCAGTCAGATATCTCAGTCTGCTTCATGCCATGTGGCAAACTCTTGCAAAGACATTGGCATGTTTCTTTGAATAACTCTCTCTTATGAATGTGTGATGTTCTGGCCCTCTGTTTCAGTGTGCACTCTTTGTCCCAGCTCAGTCTAATAAGACTGTGACTTCAAAGCCGCTGTGTCTTAGTCTTAGTGGCTTCCCTCACTGCTGTCCTCCTCACCAGGTTTTTGAGGAGAGCCTGGTCTAGGAAGATTAGGAGTTGTTCAGTATTCTCAGAAGCTCTTTATAAAAGTCTTTACTCTTCAAAATGTCCTTATATTACCATAATTAATAATCACATGGCAATTAAAAACTCTTAAACTATCCTTTAGTTTTGAAAAGTTATAATCTTAGTTTGACTTTCAACCAAGGTCGTAAGGATATTCAGGTCTTGTTCTTACATTGTACAATTAAAAACTTGGTGAGTATTTTATGGGTTGAGTCCAGCATTTTTAGACTCAATATATTAAAAAGTACTAATTGAAGGCCAATATATTTTTTTCAATTACACTTTAAATTAAATGCTATTTATGTACCGCCAAATCATTACAGAAGTTATCTGAGGACACTTTTTATGTAGAGCAGGTATAGGCCATAATCCTTATATTAAAAATATTTACATAGTTTATTAGGAAGTAGGGATTCAGTATTTCCCCCCCAATTTAATATTTAGAACTCAACTAAAAAGTTTAAAATGAACAGAAATAATATAAAGTAATAAATAATGATTTACTAAATAATTAAATCTGGAAAATTAAATAAAAAGGAAGAAAAAAGAAGTCTGTTCTAAATTGTGGGTGGAGTAATTAGTACCATTTGGGAATTTTAACTTATGTTGCTCATTATTCCCAAATAAAGTCAGCAACAAAATCATTAGGACCCCCTGCACTCAAAACGGAAGTTACTGCCCTCTGGTTCCCACCTCAGATAACGCCATAGAAGAGAACCCGCTCCCTCTGTAGATATAAACAGCTCATTCTAAGGTAACCAAAACACAATGATTCTTATATTCAGGTAATTATACCCTAATGAAAACATATCTATGAATATTATATTCCATTTCTGCCAATAGATCCTTTTAAATGTTACACACTGGACATTATTTAGCTGTGTCATATAAATTTCAGTTTAAACAATATGTATCAAACTGTAGAAATATATATCTATATATATGAATCTGTTTGAGTATTTTCTTGCCAAACAACATCATAAACTTTATGTTATGTATTGGCTGTGTTGTTTCCTTTTTGTGGCATGTCCAATTTATATGTAGAAAAGCACATTTGCAAAGGTGACTTGATATGTTATCGTAAAAGTGGCTCTCCCCTTGANNGAAAAAAATAGTGAGGATCACTGGCATAAAGCTATAAATCAAGTAGGATTCCATGTTGTAAAACAAACCAAATTTAACAAACATGTATTATAGCCAATGTATGTAAATAATGTTATTTACTACTGTAAGTAATTGAATTGTTGGGTCTGTGTAAATAGTTTCATAAGGAGTAAAGTCTATATATCAGTGTCCTGAGATAAATTCTGTTATGATTTGGCGCTATTTAAATAAAACTGAATTGAATTAAACTGAATTGTAAATAAAACGTTTACTACTGATTTACAATTACTACTACATGAGTGGTAAATTCATGTTTTTTTTATTTAATCATTAAGGAGACAATGAGATTTAATAAACAGCTTCAGTATCTTCATTATTAAGAAAATGTACCACGATACTTTACAATATTAGTCGCTATGGTACATATAGCAACCTCACCACACTTCAAAGTTGCCAGACCGGGGTCATTATAACCTTGTAGAAATAGAAACATAATGTTCTATCGGAGTTCAATAAGGTCAGTATATACCTTCATTATAGTATTATAGTAACAGTATTACAGCGATACCATTGGATATAGAAAATAGGAAAGGTACAGCAGGTTTAATATAAACATACTCTGAGCCACTACAGCAGCATTATAATGATATCATATGAGAAAGAAATATTTTCAAAGCATGATAGTCAATACTGAGTGCACTGTATGCCCCTATAAGGGTGTTGTTTGGTTGTTCTTAGGCTGTAAACAGCAACCATTCACAAACTGGTTGATTAGAGATGCCTGCACAGTAACATGCCTGTAACTATAACAGGCTCTGGTGGATGTTGGTGTTCTCCCTGTAGGGGGGAAGATGCCGATGCTCCCTGCACAGTGTCCCTCCAGCCACTCCTCATTAACTACAAGAGAGCGGGAGAGAGAAATATGAAGAGGCAGAGAGGCAGAGGAGAGAACATTACAAATCAAAAGAAGAAGACTTTTGTGGCTCCACTGATGAGCCGGTCAGTGTAAGGTCAACCTGCGGGGCCTCACCTTCACCCAGGATGTCGATGGTGTCTCCTTCGCTGAACTCCAGGTCCTCTGGGCCCTGAGCAGTGTAGTCATACAGCGCCACCATCTGGTAGTGGATGGTACGGTTGGCCAGGGGGTCTTCTGTCTGAAGTATAAGAGCACAGTGAAGGCATATAAGCGTAGCTACCACAGAAAAAAAAAAGAAGGAGGCCATACTACAGCAGAATAACACCAGGGATTGGGTGCCCAGTTAGCTCAGTCGGTAGAGCTGGCAACCCATGTACGGAGTTGCTGCGGCCCTTTGCTGCATGTCATTCCCACTCTCTCTGCCCTCCCTTTCCTGTCTATCTTTGTCACTATCAAGAAAAAAAAAAAAAAGGCCAAAAAAAAGGATAACACCAGGTAGGTGTGGAGAGGCATGAAGAGATGGCTATAACCAACTGAACAGGTTACAGTACTAAGTCTCCTCTGACTCCTGCATCCAAAAGGGACAGAAAACCACAGCCAAAAAACAGTGCTTACTTAACTGTGTTCACTGACACTGGCCATGTGTCAACACTGGAAATATGCTTACTTCCTCCTTTTACGGTAGAAAAAAAAACGAAAAATTAAGGAAGAGAGGGAACAAATTCCAAATGTTAAACAAGACAAATCCTGTTGAGGTCCTTTCATTTAAACCAAAACCAAACCATTTAAACCAAAAAAAAATCTGTTAAGTGCTGTGACTGTGCCCGCCCCGAAGACACATCCCAGCTGGGAACTGATGTCCAATTTCAAACCTTGATGCATTTGTAGTCTTGAATTCAAATACTCACCTGGCACCACAGGGTGGCTCTGCCGGCCTCAGCCACCTCTTGCACTGTGCGGCCTGGCTCCACCTCCCCACCCAGAGGTATCAGCGCCCGAGAGCCATGCTGCTTGTGTCTGATGAGAGAGAGAGAGGGAGAGGGAGTGGTGAGGGGTAGTGGCAGCAGGGGAATAGATGAGAAATTGAGGGCATTATAGGCAGTTGATAGAAAAATTACTTTATTCTGAGGCAACACAGATGATTACATGCATCAAAACCAGACTCTGATGCATGTTATTTGTTGTTATCAGCTCCTTTTTTTATTTTGACAGCTAGACAAATTAACTGGTCCCGCTGTTATTAATCCTTAGATGTCATGTGACGTTTTTGTAATGTGTTTTTATCCCATGATAATGCTGTTTTAATCCTATTCTGCTGTCTTTTTGCTGCTTTCATGGACTCATTTGTGTGTGTATGTGTGTG